GCAGGAAGGGAGAGGCCCAGCCCCTTCCTGCCCCCACCCCTCCACCAGAGATCAAAGCGGAAACTGCAATTCGCGATGATTTTGCCAGCCGCAAGGCCAGGGCCTGGAAGAAAGCCCCCAGCACTAGGCAGAAGTTCGTGCACTTTGGGCCGGTGACAGAGATAGACCAGCAGACCTGGCGGCGGCTGAGCATTGGCCAGGCTGGCCCCAGGGAGGCTGCCGAAGACGCTGTCCGCCACAGCAGCAAGATGCAGACTTACTCTGAGGCCCTCGCCTCGCCGCCCACGTGCAGCTCAGAGAAAGACCAAGGCCTTAACCCAGAGAGTGACTGCAGGTACTTTAGCTATGTCGTGCCAGGAGGCCTGCTGCTGCCCACAAGTGGGCCGAACCCGTTAACAGCCCCTGGAATGAATTTTAACAGACTCAGTCATGGCTGGGGGTCACCCTGGGGGGAGCGTGTGTATGAAGTCAAGTGGCAGATGTCCATTGTGATTCTGCTGCCACCAGAGAATGCCAATGACCCCAGCCAAGGATCCTTTTGCCCTCAGATGCATTAAGCACTGCTTTATTGGTTAAAATACTGACTACGGGGCCAGCAGGTGGCGTGATGGTTACGGTGCTGGACTCCACGTGGCCAGCCATGGTTTGAATCCCAGCCCTGGTGGCTCATATGCGCATGTGCATGAATGCCAAGAATCCCTAGAGGAGACTGGAGGATGAGGGGCTGCTGTGGCCATCCCTCCCTGGGGGGGGGGGGGTTGATTTCTTACTTTCCCTCTCTCTGTTTCTGGTGAGCTCATGCACGCTATGGTAAAAACCTTAAATAAATAAAATAAATGCTAGATGAAGTGTTATACTGTTATCACGAGCTTTTCTTTTAAAGATGTAAGGATATCTTTTTTTTTTTTTTGGAGAGGTTTTTTTCGCTATAGGGCGCGTGCGCTCGCCAGACAGACAGAAAGAGACATAGAGACAGAAAGTGAGAAATCCCCCTTAAGGGGGATTTCTCACTTTCTTACTTTCCCTCTCTCTGTTTCTGGTGAGCTCATGCACGCTATGGTAAAAACCTTAAATAAATAAAATAAATGCTAGATGAAGTGTTATACTGTTATCACGAGCTTTTCTTTTAAAGATGTAAGGATATCTTGATAAGCATTGGCTTTTTCTATAACCTCTTTCTTTCCTAACCTATGAGGTAGGGAAAAATAATGATGAGGCTCCCCAGCCCCAATTTAGAACATCTAAGTAGACATATAAAGAATAGTAAAGATCTCCTCCCTCCCCTACTTTTTCAAATTATATAGTAAATCTGGACTGGAAAGAGACTTCTCTTTGGGGGTTTCTGTAAGTCTAGAGTGTCGTTGGCTGACTCGCCAACCAAATTCGAGAGGAGGCACTTGGTAGACCGGCCTCCAGTTATCATCCTCGTGGAGGCTTCCTGCTCTGGATCCCTGAGCCCTCTTTGGGGGATTCAGTTCTGGGGGCTGCTCTCTCTTCTGTTAGGCCAGTGTGGGACATTGTAAGACTGTAGATTACACGGGAAGCTTCTATTCCACCTGCATGGGGAGTCCTTGCAGGAGGAAATGCTCCGGCATTCTCCCATGCTTTGTCCTTGAAGTCTAAAGCAAGCAGTGGACAGTTCACAGTGTATAGGACGTCCTCTGTGCCAGACTTGGAGTGTCACCATGGGTTGTCGTAAACCCGGGAGACCAGAAACAAAGCCAGGGGTCCAGAGGCTGATGGAGATCAAAGGGGGTTAGGGTATTAATGAGAGCAGCGTCCCCAAGGCTTTGGCTCCTGAGGGAGCATCGCTCAGGCCATGCAACAAGCACTTTGGCCAGTGTCCTGGGTCTCTTCTCAGGCCTTGCCAGCGTTCACATTCCACTTTCTCAGTCCAGTGACGTCATCCTTCCTAACTGACTTTGGCATGAGGACAGCTGGACTGTCTGATTTAATGGTCAGCTCTTAATCTTCCAGGCTCGGCGACTCCCAATGCCTCCTTTCATAATGCTTTTTCTTTTTCTTTTTTTTTTCTAAAATTATTTTATTTAACTTTATTTATTCATTTATTTATTTATTTCAAGTTGACCAGAGAGGGATAGAGGGATAGAGAGAGAGAGAGAGAGAGAGAGAGAGCAAGCTGCCAGGTCCAGGACTTGAACTGTAATCAGCCACGTGAGAGTCCAGCACCCTTAACCACCAAGCCACCTGCCAGCCCCTCATAATGCTTTTTCTTCTCTCTTGCCACCGACCCTCCTTGGCCATCCACCGAAGCATGAGCTCTGGCAGAGAGGACTATGGCAAAAGGGCCACACGGCTGGCACCCGTGCCCGAGTGTCAGGAAGAATGGGTCTGCAGTGTGGGCGCGTGCCCAAGGACTGGGGAAGGTGAGCTGGCCCTCTCCACGAGGTGAAGGGAAGCAGGACAGATGGGGGCCTTTACCTAGTGGTAAAGCCCTCTTCTCTGACTGTAGTCACATCCCAGCAGCTGCCCCAGGGCGGCAAAGAAGAAAGCGAAGGCGTCACTCAAAGAGATTCTGAGACTCCGCCAGAGGCAGAAGGACCCGCCAAGAGCAGCCAGCCACCGTGAGCCTCGTGCCTGCAGTTGTGGTGTGCTGCCTCTGCCGTGTGGCTCTGTGTCCCCCAGACAGCTTGGAGGCACAGCGTGCCCTTGGTGACAGCTGTTGCGAGGAGTGAAGCCGCTTGAAGGAATGTGCCCATCCCAGGATCAGAGCTCTGCTTCTGGGGCCTGCTCTGGGTGGATTTTAGCCTTTGCATGTGGTTGGGGACTGGCCAAGTTCTGTCCTCAGGAATCTGGAGACCCAGAAAGGGAGCCCCGTTCTCCTGTGAGTACCGGCTGCATGCGGGGGCTCACAGTATTCTGAACACGCTTCTCTGGGTGCTGCCGCCTCCGTGGGTGCTGGCTTCTTCTGTCTTGAATTAATGCCAGTGAGTGACGCTACTGAAAACGATTGAGCATTAAGTGGCCTTTGACTGGCTGGACTGAATGTCGCCCTAGTGTGTGTCCTCCAGCCTCTGAACAGGAGGCTTTGGGGACAGAAGAGAGGTTGGAGAAGATGACAGCTCCCGCCTGGGATGGCAGTGGACTGAAAGGCCAAAGAAAGGTGTCCGGGTCACAAAAAGATGACATGATGGTCAGGAGAACTGGGACGTCCCTTAGACACACCGGATCCAACCCGAACCAGTTCCTTCCGGTGCCGTTTGCAAAGCAACAGACTGTGGAAGAACCTGCCAGGGGACCAGTCCCGAGCGATCAGAGGTCAGAAGGTTTTCCTGTGTCCTGTGCCCGCTTCTCCAGCCTGAGCTTGGCCTGCGCGTCAACTGTGTCATTAACACGTCGTGACGTTCTAATGCCCCGACCTACTATGCTAGAAGCAATGAAGTGACGGCACTTGGCCCAGTCCACCCAGAACCTCTTTGCTATGTTGCATGTGAGCAGGTGTGGGAAGAACAGTTCTATGGCAAATTTACCTGTTAGACGTTCCGACTCTCACCTCCAGGGCAGAATCCATGGGAAACGCGTTGTCTTTCCTAGCTCATGCAGGGAACTTCCTGAAGGTGTTCAACTTCCTTCTCACCGACTAGATCTCACTTTGATTCCAGGTTCAAAGAAGAGAAATACCCACTTTGAAATGTGTAGTTTAATTGAATTTTCAACAGGGTCTCAGGCTGCATTTGCCCTTCAGCCCTTGCACCCGGATGGTGGCATGTACAGGTCAACTGGGGAATCCAAGCCTTGATTGTCATGGGGATCCAGTGTTGCCTGAGCAGGGCATTATCACCGTGCCAGGGAGCTGGCTTCTGCTTCGTATTCAAACAGGGATAAGTGGTTAGTTTGCGCTCACAGGGCAACTAACTCTGTTTGCTCTCGACAAATACTAGTTAAGTAGTTACTGTCTTACATGCAATAAGACAGTATGTGCTGGATGCTGGGGGATAATCTTAGATGAGCGGTAAAATAATTTCCCTCTCACTTCAAATTAAGCAAATGCTAGTTCACAATACAGAAAGACAGACCCAGCTGGGACCAGCAGTTAGCTGTGTCACTGGGCTCCCATGTAGTCGATCGCGGTTCAAGTCCCGGACCCGGTGGCTTAAAACTCACGCCTGGTGCGTGTGTGTGCATGCCCAAGATCCCAAGAGGAGAAGGGATTGTGGCGTGGCCATCCCCACTGGGGGGGTGATTTCTCGCTTTCTGTCTCTCTGTCTCTGTCTGTCTGGCGAGCACACGCACCCTATAGCAAAAACCTCTCCAAAAGAAAAAAGAAAAAGAAAGAAATACAGACCCAGCTAATTATTGATCCTGAAATGCCTTGTTGGTGCTAAAAGTTACACAAATGCATCAATAGGTATATATAATATTCTTTTTTAAATCTTTCTCTCATTTATTTATTTAAATTTGCTGTAGAGTATGTGCACTCACCAAAGAAAGAGAGAAGGACAGAGGGAGAGAAAGTGAGAAAGTATCCTCTCGGGGGAGAGCCATGCCATAATCCATTTTTCCTCCATTCTCTTATTGGGATTTTGGGCACACGTGCACATGGGCCCAGCATGTTCCTCAAGCTTCCAGGTCTGCAACTGAAACCAGGCAGTCCACCCTGTAGGAGTCCAGCATCTTACCCACCATGCCACCTGCTGACCCCATGGTAGAGACATCTATGAAATGTTGTGAATTATTTTATTTAAATTCAAATATATCCTACATGCAACAGCATAGCTAAAATTCTCAAACTAAACATTTTTCTAGAAGAGCCAATCTCTACAGGATGTACTTTGGACAGTCTACGAAAAACTCAATACTTACATGTGCCTGTGTTCAGTGTGTGCAAATTCACTAGGGTGTACGCATAGTATGTACGCTTTCTATACCCGGGACTTCACAAAGCTTGTGGAAAAATGGGATTAAAGTGCACATTTATTTTGGTGGGGAAAAAAAAAAAAGCCATACATAGGTTTTTCATAATGTGCATTTTCCATAAACTTTTTGAAGACCCTTTGTATGTATGTTCTACATTAATAAAATGTTAATAAAAATATTTCAGGTAGAGATACAAAATCACACAACAAATACTAATAGATTACTACTTGATTAACTAGCTATTAGAAATAACTCCTCTGGGACCAATAGGTGGCATAATGGATTAAGGGTGCTAGGCTCCCACATGGCCTGACCGCAGTTCAAATCCCAGACCTGGCAGCTTGCTTTCTCACTTTCTTCCTCTCTCTCTCTGTCCCTCTGTGGTTAAATTTAAATGAATAAATAAATAAGTTAAATAGAGTAATTTTTTAAAAAAAAACACTTTTCGGCTCTTCTCCACTGATAATTTAGAAAAAACTGTGTTCAAATAAATCTATTCCAATAGGCCTACTCATTAACGGGGAAATATGTATCCAGTATGCTGAATTCATAGTGCTCATTCACTCTTTTGATATGGAAGAACCCTCTCATCATCTGCTTCAATGTAGAGATGCTTTTGGAAACTGAGGCTATTAGGTTGAAATTTAATACTTTCTGAAACTATTCCCTGGAGAAACAGAAAATGAGTCTTATTGCCAGAAGAAAACTATTCGCTAACACTTTCCTTGTCTTGCTTTTGGCCATTTCAAGAGACAGTTTGAGTTTTGCCCTGGTATGGTTGCTTTCACTGTGATTAAATAATTATCAATGAATGCAGATTGTTCTAGAAGGGCAAAACCATACAGGGGGTGTGTGTCCACCCGTGTATTTTCTCTAAGGTTACAAGAAGAGGTCTTCAGAAAGTACTCTTTTTCATATAAACTGTTATGAAACTGAGCATGGGACTGGGTTGGTCTGGCTGACAACCCCAAAATGTAATTTATTGCAAACTGGAAGCAGGGCATATTTTTATCACTGAAATAATTCTTTGTCCACCACCATACTGCAGAAATGGGCAGCTTTTATAGCAAAGGTAAGAACCATCCCTTCGAATTCACCTTTGCTGAGTCATCGTCATCATGGGAGCTGCTTTTATTTAAAACTGTGCTTAAAATATGCCCCTTGGAATGGTCTCCTTTTTTCCTACTTTGATCTTTTCCTTTGCATTGTCAGATACATTTAGACTTAAAACAATTCTATTGCAGAGTCTACAACTTTATAGATCTAAGTAATCAGAAGAATAGAAATGGTTGGGGTAAACCTTGGTTTTTCAAATTATGGGAGATTATTCAAGCCTGGTTTTGCTGAAGTTGTAGTTTTTGTCAAATGCAGAAGGCACTGACTGGGATTCTGGTTGGAGTTCTGGTTTGCAGAAATACTCTTTGAGGTCCTTTGTGTGAATGCATTAACACGTTGGAAACAGGGTCGCTACAGGCACGCCTATCTTCTGGGTGTCTATCACAACCGTTTACTGCTGGATGTAGAAGCGTGAGCGGCTTCACCGTGTGTGAATGACCATAATACACGTTTGTTTTTTAAGCTGCCTTCTCTAAACATCGTGGATTGCACCTAAGCCTCTTTGTGTTTAAATCGAACAGCTTCTTTGTGGGTAGCCTGGGACTTATTTTCATTTCTCCTCTGGGTTTTAATACACATTTCGCATTCTTTAGAATGACCAAGACTTTTCTTTGATTTTCGGCAGCCCAAAGATATTGCTAATTGCATAATGATACTTCTCTTCCAGTAGGATCGGCAAGAAAGGTTTGGTGCACATGTATTTCAGCAGTGGTTTTTCTTTCCAGCTCGATTACAGCGTGAATGGTCTACCTTGCCGGTCTTCTAATTTTGTATTTGGTCTTATAGATACGGTCCGAGAACTCCTGTGTCTGATGACGCAGAGTAAGTTGTCTTGTGTTCGTAGGATTCCATTAATTGCTAGCCTAAACTGCATGCTTCCGATACTTACCACTAATTGAAATGCAATGGGTGCAATGCTGAGCTGAATAGTTAACGGACTCGTGCAGCCGAGCACTTGAAGCACAAGTGCAAAACATTCCTCTGCGCAGAAAGGAGGAATGAAGATGCAATCTAAGCATGATTCTAATACCCAGCTGCTGCTTAAAACATAGCATTTGCTTTTCATAGACCGGGCATGTTAAAATTGTTGTCTCTGTTATGGTTTGGGCACTGGCACCCCTTCTGAACCACAGGATTATTAAATTCTGAACTTGGCGTTTCCTTCTTGATAGGTTGGGTTTAGCGTGAACAATGAAGCAGTCATTCCCACAGTTGCATTCTTTTAAAAAACTAAGAAAATAAATCCTAAACCACTAATTATAGATTCAGAAGCCCAAGTTCCTCCCAGGTTGGAGTCATATAAACTGCGGGATGCTTGAGACCAAAACATTGGGGTTTCGTTCAAGCTCTGTGGCATAGCAGAGGGTCAAGTGTGTAAAAACATGACTTGTGCTTCCCCGGCCTGCCACTTGGCTGGCACTCTCCTCAGAGATCCATTATTGTGCACCTCAATTCAAATTTAAGAAGAATCTACATCCTCCTACTTGTGACCCCGTTAATGCCATTCCAAAAATGGATTTCCTCTGTGTAGATCAGATCCGTTGATCCGATGTGATATACAAGGTAAAAGTTTTCGTAGCAAAATATTGCCTTCTCAGAGTTGAGTCCCTTGTGTTTCAAGAAACACAATTAATATCTAATTCCAACACGAAGAATCTCTCCTGTCTGTGGGAGGCACTGTGGCCTTGTAGGAGTCTGGGCCCTCTGAAAAGTGGTCACCAGCTCTCTTAATGCCTGTCCTCCTTGCCTGAGCCATGATTTCAAGTCACAGACTGAAGAGAGACATACGAATGTACAACCCACAAATATCCTTTCCACCAATGACAACGAGACTAGGAAACATATTAAATGGTTTTCAGTTTGGCTTTTAATTTTAGTAGAGGGTGCACACCCTTGCCAGAAAGAGACAAAATGAGAAAGCATCCAACCATGGGGGATGATCATGCTGTAATCCCTTCTCTTCCTTTGCTTTCTCTTGTCAGGATTTTGGGCGCGCGCGCACACACACACACACACACACACACACACACGGCATGTTTTTCAAACCACCAGGTTCAGGACTCAAACCGTGTAGTCAGCCATGTAGGATTCAGCCGCCTTAACCACCACACCACCAGCTGGCCCACGTGTTGTCAAGTTGTGCTTTTTGTATGTTTGTGTTCAAGACATTGGCTTAGTTTGGACTCTTAGCCCTGAACAGCCAGACTGCAAAGCCAAGTTTCCCGTGTGTGATCTGTGATGGGTTAACAGCCTGACAGATAGAACATGCATGTCTCAAAATCAGAATCCACCTGGGCATGACTGCACAGTTAAGCTGTCTGCAAAACTGAGCCCTGATTATTGCTTTTTAAGCCTGCAGTGGCAATATCTGACATTCACTGAAAGGAGGATTATGTAAGATTGATAGGCAAAACCCTGCTTTGATTTGGTGAGCAAAAACATTTTGATAGAATGGATTTATTCTTCATCACCGCAAAGCTGCTATGCAGTCTGCCTCAAAGAACCCTCCGGGAAACCCTAAATGGTAAAAGGAAAGAAGCTGAATTAAAGAGAATTTGACCCATACCTGAACACAAAATCTCACCGAGAAAAGTTCAGGATTTCCCAAAAGGAATGAGGCGGGATCTCGCTCTCTCCTTCTTTAAGTTTACGAAGAGTAGCCTAATGGGTCAAGAAGGGTAAAAGAGGCTTCTTTTCCAGTGCTCCTTCTTATCCAGGAATGACACAGTTTACATGAAACTACATGGAGAACGAAACAGAACGTTAAGATTAATTTAAAAAATTTTTAAATAGAAATGTATCCTACTTTCATTTTATTCCCTCACTCGCTCCATTTTCCAAAACCTTGAAAGGCAGTGATTGGCCCAGGCAATATTTATTAACAATTAGCAAATTCTTAAAATACAGCCCAATTTAAGAAGAAAAATAAAAAAGATGTGCCCTCTAAAGAGAACTTAGGTCAGGGCAGACACACCACCCAAGCAAATGAAAAAATTCCCACTTCCTGAACAACCACAAGTCTTTTTTTCTTTTCTTTTTTTTTTTTTTTTTTTTTGGAGAGGTTTTTGCTATAGGGCACGTGCGCTCGCCAGAAAGACAGAGAGACAGAAAGCAAGTCATCACTCCCCAGGGGAGATGGCCACACCGCAATCCCTTCTCCTCCATTCTCCTCTTAGGATCTTGGGCACGCACACACACATGCGCCCAGCATGAGTTTAAGCCACCGGGTCCGAGACTCGAACCGCAGTTGACTACGTGGGAGTCCAGCAACATAGCCATTACACTAACTGCTGGTCCCAACAACCACAAGTCTTTATCCATAGACTTCACTTCATCTTCTTGCCTTTGTTCTCACTTCCACAATCATCCTCTCCCTACATGCTCTTCCCAGAGGAAAATGTGCCCTGTCAAAGCCATTGGTTAATTTTACTCTGAGTTTCCTTACCTTAGACTTGGCCCAGATTTTCAGGCTTCCCTTGAGGCAGTTTGATCAAAGTCCTCAAGAATACAAACCACCAAGAAAGACCCTGAAGCTCACATGCTAGCCCAGACTACATACTCCCAGTACTTGCAATCTTGGCTGAGATATTAGAAGACATAGATCTCTCTGAGCTGGACTCACTTAGACTCCACTAAGTAGCTGGTAGATTATGGGAGAGAGAGGAGGTCCTGCACAAGGTCTGGGGCCGTTGTCCAGCAACCCAAGGGCACAGGCATTTGATACTGGGAGCCCAGAGTTAGACCAGATCACACTGTTATCCTGGGAGCTGGGCTTCTCCAGGGCCCTCACCCCCACCCAATCCCCACATACATGCTTCTTCATGTGGGTGTTCAAGTCCAAGCTCAGCACTTGACAACATTTCCTGAGCAATGACTCAGCCCATTTTCTATCTAGTGTTATCAATTTTTAACTTTCTCAGTTCCTTTTTTTTTTTTTTAATAGCATACATACACCACTGACAGTTTTGTTATTTCTTTTTTGGTCAGTTTGCTGATATTTCTTTTTTTAAAAACTGTGGGGAAAAAAAAATACACTTCCTGGTGTATAAAAAGGGCCAGTAATGATTTCTCTTTTTTATTTAACCAACCAACTCTTGGGCACAGTTGGGCTGAGGTGATTAGAGCTTCACCATGGGGGTAGAGATGGGAACCCAGACCAAAGGAAGGGAATTTTGAAGGCCTTTTCTCCATGCCTGGCGAGTGAAACACCAGGTCCTGGAGAAGGCGGCCATTTTCTTCCTTGAGTTCCAGAGAAGACCTTGGCCCAGGACCACCCATTGTGACCTAAATCAGGAGATGCCCTTGAAGGTCCCCCATCTCCCATAATCTGCCAGCTACTTAGTGGATTATACGAAGGTCCCAGCTCAGAGAGGTTTATATCTCCTAAAATCTTAGCAAAGATTGTCAATTGCCTTAAAACATAAACTGACTGGATTGCATATTCGAAAGGTAAGATTTTTTTTGGTTCATTTTTTAAACTATGAGAGGAGAAATGGGATGAAAATTCTGGGTTTCTTTTTAGGAAGCCTACTGAAAGTGAATTTTGATTCCTGAAGGTTAAAAAACATGGGTTGGACTTTTCTACCTAACTGTGTAAATTCCTAACTGGTTCCTAAAAACATGAAAACTCGCCTTCTGAGGACTGCAGCTTAGTTTTTTCTGGAAGGCGTGGCTCTGAAATCAGCATTGTCCCAGTATACGGGACAGTTTTGCTCAGAGGTGGTTCTTTCTGTGCTGAGAGCTCGGGTCAAAGCCCTTCTCTGCAGTTGAATTGTAGAACTCCCTTGGGGAAGACAGAGCTCCATTACGGGCTTCAGTTTTCATTCTTGTCAGTCAGGCTTATCCTGTGTCTGGAAAGAAGGGAGAGGCAGCCCCATGTCCACACAGATTCATTTGAGTGGATTGACATGCAGGTGGGCAGCCATTGTCTTGGGGGGTCTTCTTCCAGATAGCTGCCTGCTAAGGAACTCATTGCATCCAATGATGCAGCCACTGGTCATTGCCCGGCCTGGGGAGATGGCTGTGCACATCCCTAGTGATGTCTAGAGTTAGCTGGCGTCTTGGTGCATGGCTTTCCTTTTTCTCTATGCTAAGCTGGATTCGAACCTGGACTCTCACCGCTTTTTGTTTCTCACAGTTAACCGTGAACTTTAAGGTCCCTCCATTTCTTGATCTGAGGACTCTATACCACCTCCACCCAAAGCTAGATTTTTTTTCTTTTTCTTTTTCTTTCTTTCTTTCTCTCTCTCTTTTTTTTTTTTTTTTTTTTTTTTTTGAGAGAGAGAGAGAGGAAAAAAAAAAAAAAGCTGAGGATTTTGCTTTGGTTTCTGTTTGTGTTTCCGTCTGGCTGCCTCAGCTTTTACTGTAACAAAGGTTTATATGAACATCACAAAAAAGGCCCCATGGTCTCACCCAATATTTAATAGCTCCTGCAGAATGTCTTAATTTTGTGTTCAGCCTAAGGGTTTTTTTTTTTTTTAATTGCTTTCTCTATCCATTTTCTTGTAAAAGATTAAATTTGGAGCTAACCTGACAAAAATAAAGCAAAAAGACTGTGAGCATGTAGGTTCCAACGTGTAAGCGGGGTCATATTTTAGTCCTGTTTTTGGCAAAACACCTTACTTTCTTAATTATAAGATGCCATCGCCTGACTATCAATTTTGGACAGTGTTATAGGAAATGAAAAGAAATAATCACATCAGACATACACATCAATTCATGGTTGCTAGATACCCTCAAAATTCAGGAAGTCAGATGTGAAAATTAGGTATCTTAAACTTAAGGCCATGTGATTTTTTTTTTCCCATGGAGAATTTGCTTCCGTTCACATTGGAAGCAGATCTTTACACAAAGACTACTGTACTGCCCTGACTCCCCAAGTCTCCCTAAGTTATCTACCTTTTAATTATTTCATTTTATTTTTAAATACAGCCCCAAATGAGGGAAGCCCAGAGAGTCACCCCCCTTTCTCTAGCGCTTCTTTAAACCTATTTGGTGCCCGACTGTGAAATGATGTTGTTCTGACTCAGTGCTGTCATGAAGGCAAGGACAGTGGCATGCTGGCTTCTGCGGCAGACGGAGGTGGCGAGGCCAACGTGCTCTCCCCTGCGAGGGCCCCAAGGGCTGCCGTTTGCAGGGATGAGGACTAAGAGGGGCTCTCCCAGCCCCGCAGCGCCCCCAGCGGCCGGACCTGCGCGCCGTGGCGGGCGCCGACCGGGGCTTGCTGTGCTCTCTCTGCCCACAGGAGCACCAGCATGTTTGACATGCGGTGTGAGGAGGAGGCCGTGCAGCCGCACAGCAGGGCCCGCCAGGAGCAGCTGCAGCTGATCAACAGCCAGCTGAGGGAAGAGGACGACAAATGGCAAGACGTGAGTCCCGGCCCAGGCCACTCCAGCGGTGGGGAGGCTGCTGGGAGCTGAAAGGGCACTGGGAGAGTGGACTTGCACTTGAAAGCCTTCTGGGAGGACACTGCCAGAGCCATTTCAGACAGCCACACAGTCAGTGTGGGGACAGACGGAAGGCTAATAGCCACGTGAGTGACACTGACAGGCATTGGCAGGGGGCCCA